GATCTCTTCAACTTTCATAATAGCTGAATTAAAAAAGCTTTCTGAATCTTAGCAGTCTCTTTAAATGAGCATTTTAGTTATCTGCAATGTTTTTTTCTCTTTTTATTGACAGAATCTGTTTTTTCATTTGCCATTTTATTTCACAAATATTTCACCTAGTAGATTGATCTTCTACAGTAAAAACAAGAGGAAAATTTTCCAGATGCTACATCATAACAACATTGATCTCATATTTGTTTTCTTAATTTATATTTGAACCCTATTTGAAAATGCCATTATTTTTTCCTAAAATCAAATATGCACACAAAGACCAAAAGCAAAGCAAAAAAAAGAGGATGAATGAAGTATGAAATTCACTACATGTGTGAACTTCAGACCTACTCAGGTCAGATTTTCACTATGTCCTTATTGAACAGTTTCTTCTTCTACCCTGAAAGGCTCAGGATGAGACAAAATCACTTTGCTTTTCTTCAGCAAGTTTGCAACTGTAATCAAGAAATTTGTCAGCAACTTACTGAGTAACAGTGATCTGGAAGACAAAAATATAACTTTATTTTCCTTAAAAGCATATTCAAAATCAAGATATTTTGCAATTTAATCACCAGTAGTACATACTTATTCTACTGTTTTCCATCGATAGGAATGGAACAGAATTAATTTCTCATCATTCCCAAATACATGTTCTAGCTATTCTATCATTCTCCTTTCTGTGTCCTAATATAAATGCTTCATAAACTCACTCTACTGTGTCAGTTTTGTGACGCTTGTAACTCCTGCACTAAGAACATTAGCATTGATCCACATCTAAACCTGAGATTTGTAGAGATATGTGATTGTGCTATTAATCCACTAATAGTGTCCAGAATGTCTGATTTACAGTGTGTATGCAAACAAGTGGGAAACTCCACTCAGCCTATTTTGGAAGCTTTGAAAATAAAGTAGTACAAGCATTTCCTTGAATCTTAGTATGAAGGGTTGCAATTCTGATAATGAAGACTGGTTAAATGAGCCATATAATCTGCAAAAAAACTAGCACTGATCCAAGTGACTGCAAAATGTAGTGACTAACACACAACAGACGCTAGTTACATCCACTTTACCTCAGGGCCACTGCTTCTCTGGGCACGGGACAGAATCAAGAGCCAATAGGTCTTACAAAAAGTGCACTCAAGCAAGTATTCTGAATTACAAAATTAACAGGTAGCTTTTCTCCAGCATCCAGCAACTACTTGAACTTTTCAAGTCTCATTCACTTAACCACTCTGACACTTCATGGCTGCCTGCTATGATTAGAAGTATATCAGAGGGGTGAGTTGTCTCAAAACTAGTATTCTGCTGCTATATAATCCTAGGTTTCAGTTCCATACAGAGCCTTTCTGCTGCTATTCCATAATGTGTACTAAACATTAAACAGAGCATGCCACTCAAGAGAGCATATGGAACCCTTCACAATTCTCCTTGATATCAGACCTGAAAGGTGCCAAAGTGATTCCATATGGCCAGCCCTCTTTGACCACCAAAATCTAAACCTTGCTGCAACTAGATGACACTGAGGAAAAGTGATGATCTAGAGAGTCTTCTATTTTGTCCTGCAAACAGATGCAGCTATGGAGCTCTAGAGAGAAATATGCTGTGCTAGAAACAAAATACAGCTGCAGTAAAATATAGCTGCAATAAAAGCAGCTACACATTCTCAATTCAGAAAACTGTAACTTCTCAATGACTTATATAAAAAGGCTGGGTAGATTAACCTGAGATCCACAGATAATATTGGTTCAATGAATCTCTAAAACCTTATACAAAACAACTTTGATTCAGGCTGTGCCTAAAATTCTACCTTTTTGAGTGTGTCAGAAATTATAAATCAGACATTCAACCTGACCAGAGATACACAGTTTCAGTAACACTATTCTATCGATTTAGAATGAGATGTTTTATGAAATTGCAGGTTAGCATGATTTAATATTTATATTTTCGTAGCATTTGTAGCTCAACCAATTACAATTAAATGCTGTACCAACATAAGAGATGGTAGTTATGGCCCCCTTCCTATCAAATTTATGTCAGAGGTGAAACAGAGCAAATGAGTAGGGTGGGCAGTTCCAGAGACTATGTAACAACAGTATGCTTAAAGTTCTCTACAGTCAGAAACAGAGATCTTATATCACCACTAGCCTGGCTAGGATCAGATTGTAAATGTCTGTTTCCATATGCAACAACACACAACTTAAAAGAGCCTGAAAAACACTGGGATAATTCAGATTTAATTGACATGTAAAAGATGTCATGGGAAACACAAAGGGAGTTATATAACCTTCACATTAGAATGAAGCACCTCCTGGGCTTAGGACTTTCATTTGTATCTTGAATAAGTTTAAAAACTAAACAGTAAACAAAGACCTGGATAAGGATAGTGTCTAATCACACTCAGTATTTAAGAAAAAGAAAATACAGTGTGACTATACAGATTCAGAAATTCTTCCTACTATTACCTCAGGTATTCTTTTTTCAGTAAAACCTAGAGATGATATTCAGAGACCATCTCTAGAAAAGATCCCTCATCACTTAATCTTACATTGTGCCAGGCTGGTTGCAGAGTTCTCTGCCTGTATGAATTCTAGCTTCCAGCCACCTTTCACTGTAGGTCCCTGCCTACCAAGTTCTGCTGGAATTGTTCTACAAGAGCCACCTCTAGAACATTTCTCCATGAATTCATGACAAGCAAGCATAATTCTTCAGCAGGTTTATTTTTTTCTGTGCTGACAGTGCTCTCCCACACTATGCACTCCTTTCCTTTCCAACCAAAGTAAACTCAGAAACTGTATGAGAGGTGTTCATGGAATTTGGAATGTAAGTGGCTCAGTTCTCACATACATGGTGAGAAACACCTACCTGTGGGTCCCAGAACTTACTTAAAGCAGTTCCTTGTTGGGGCCGCTGCATAGCCATCCACAGTACAGAATGAAAGTCTTAGCCTATAGAAGCACATTGCTCCAGTGTATTGCTCACTTTATTATCTTTTTTTTTTTTTTTTTAAATCAAAATCTACCATGAGAGTCTGAAACTAAGGCATCTCTTTAAAGACAACATATTTGAAGAACATTAGTTACAGCGGAATAAGCTACCTTCGTTATATTGTCATAGCAAAAGATTAACAAGAGTTACTGTTTCCAGAAGGACTGATGGAGGAAAAGAAAAAAGAGCAGTATTATAAGATATACAAGCTTCTTTTATAAAGCAAAATAATTTGGGCCATTGGACGCCATATCTTTATTACATAGTCGCACAACACTGCTTCACAGGTAGTCCACAGGAATATTATTCTAGTTAGATCAAGACAAGTTTTGGACAGTTTTGAGATTTGAAAGACTCCAGAAAATTGAACTCTCTCTTTAGGATGACTGTGCAGCTTGCAAACACAGAACTACAGTTCTGAGTAGATCTTAGAGCAGACCTTCTCCTTTTACAAAAGCTGACAGGTTAAATTCACTGTAGAGACAGATTTAAGATTTCTCAATATTTGAGCATATGCTTCCACCTTCATCTGACATTTTGTATAAACTTTCATCTAGAACGACTTGAAATTCTCAAATGGATAGTACACCTGTCCACAAATACTGTGAGATATAATTATGAAGATCGCAAATGCTCCAGTATTTGGCATACATGGACTGTACGAGTTAGGCATAATACCACAGCATGCACCAATACAGTACATATTTTGTATCATCAGACAAAAGTAAATTATTCTTAATTTCATTAAGACTGTAAAACAACAAGGCTCAGTGAAATTCAGAAGTAATAGGTAAAAGGTCTTCAGCTCCCTCTGAAAATTCAATGTACAGTGATACTAATGAAAGTACTAAATAAAGTGTTTGTTTAAATACTGCAATAGTTTCAAACCAATCACCGTAGAAATGGTCAAAATAAGTTTCAGTTCTTCCAATTTTCCTCCACTCCTGTATATCTTTGACAGAAATATAAATGCTTTTCAAGGGCAATTTTAAGCTTACATTTGAAAGTATATTTATACTTCTTTATATCTAGATTGGACCAGAGATAAGGCAAAGGTGTTAAATCAAGACAAGAGTGCCCCTCAGTGGCAGTATGTTGACATAAAATAGAACTATATGATACTTTACAATAATATTCTGAATATTTTTCATCACTCAGGGACAAATGCTCCATTAAATCACCTTCTTTCAAAACTGTATCATTACTCAGAATCATAGTTTTTTAGCCCATACCACTTAATAATGAATGAATTTAAGTATGTACATCATCAGATACAAACATTTACTATAAAACAACAGTTGCTAAATATATTTGCCTATTATAGCTGAGTGTTTTGTGGTTGGGTGTGTGCATATGTCTAGACCTCCCTGTTATTTTTAAAGATACTGATTTTTGCATAAAGACTTCTCACAACATTTCTGCATTATTCAAATTGTTTAGTTCTGTGTCATGAGCAGTAAGAAAGCATGCAGTGGTTCTTTGAGAACTTTAAAAACTACAGTATCTGAACTGCCTGTAAGGCTTGCTGTGTGTATCTGGTTGTATTAATTCACTCAAAGAGTAAAACTTTGTCATACTTTGTACTGTTCACACATATACTGCTTTCAAAGCCTATTCTGAAACCTGCCTAGGCTCCTTCCTCCACACTGTGGAGATTATAGAAGCATACATCAAGAATATTCAGTACTACAGGTTCAGACAAACAGCACCTCACTGCAGCTGATCACTGGGAACAACTGATGGATACTATACAATTGCATGGTAGAATTGGAATAGAACAGATGACTGTTATAGTTTGTATGTTCATTAGCACTTGTTACCTAACCTGGTTATCTCAATATTCTTGCTGATTTAAACAAAAACAAGCCTTGAAGTGTAACTATGGTTTAATTTTTTTAGGGCCAAATCAGCTCCTCCATTTCAGTAAAGAAATTCTACTCACGTAATCATGGGAAATTCTCTTCAAGTAAAGTAGTTCAACTTACTAATTGTAACTTTGTCTTTATCCCCCAGCATGACATTGTTTGGAGTGAGATCTCGATGAACAATCCTTTTCTCTTTATGCAAATAACGAAGAGCTAGACAAAGCTTAAAAACAAACAGAAAGAGCCTTACAAAGATTCTTAGCTACAATGTAAATAAAGGCACATAAAATTAAATTCATATCTGATATTAGTGTCTGATATAATAAGCATTACTTTGTCATTTATTAGCCTAACAAACATAAATGGTGCTACTAATTACATGCAGGAAAGTCCTGGTAACAAAAAAAAGAGACACCCTTACTTGGATAAATATATGCCATATTCTTTCTTCTGTAAACTGTTGTTGCTTTTCTTTCAAAGAGTGAAAGTGTTCTTCCAATGGCACTCCCTCTATGAGTTCCATGACTATGTATAATCTGTCATCTACATGAAAGAAAATGAATTAATAGAACATTACATTTATATAGAAGGCATTTGAAAATAGAGTATTTGAGGTTAAAATACATTTTAAAAGCTGTTATTTTTTTACTTTTTAAAAACTTATTTGTACAGACAAATACATTTTAATCATAGTTCTATTCCTTGTTATTCCATTTTTTCCTCAATTTATATCACAGAAACTGTAAGGAATTCACTGCCTGATAATCACTCAGCAGACAGGTATATGTAGCTAACTCTTTATAAAAAAGAAAATTAAGACAATACAGCTGAGCAATCTATATCATTCATTCTACTAGTCGCTATAGCTTTTCTCCCTACTTAGTATTCCAGTTGTAAATTTTGGATCTTTAACTCTATAGGATGAGAATGATGCTTTCTACATGTTTACATTGCATCTAGTTTTACTGATAGATAAACAAATATAAACATTATTTCTCACCATTTTTTCAATTTTAAAGGAATATAAGCCTGTCTGAACTGTAGCAGTTCTTGAAGAAAATATTACCATTTATTGCTCAAATTTGACACACTCCTTCCAAGCAGTTTTATTATATATTTCTATTTCTTCATTATGTACAATGTGTTAATTCTCTGCATTTATACTTACTTTCCAAGAAGGTTCTATAATACCGTACAACATTTGGATGATAAAGCTACAATGAGGAAAGAAATGTAGATGTTTAGAATAGTTAAACTGATGGCACAGGATTTATGTTTAGTTACACATTGGAAGGAAGGATTCCACAAACCTACTTACAAACTGCAGTGCAGTAGACATTCACTGCTACCGCAAACACAGAGAAGTGTTGCACAGTACTAGAGCAACCAGGAGGAAAATACAGCATGATTCCTATCCACTCTCCCCTTAATTTAAAGGGAGTAAATGAAGTTTGAAGACAGGCAATTACACCTGGCTCAAAGTATTGGCTTTCTTAGCCTAAGAACACTAATGATCAGTCTGGTTTTTTAATTTTCAATTACAAAAAAGACTACCTTCTCACTCTACTTTAAACCCAAGAATTCATTAAATGGAACAAAGACTCATCCGTTTTCTCTCACAATCTTAATTTACAGAATCCCTGAAAAAAGTTCAAATACTGCCAAAACAGAAAGTAAGAATCTTTAGTAACAAGCATTTGCACTGCTGCTAACACTACAGTAAGAAGGTTTTCAGTATCGGCAGCATTCAGGTAAAAGGGGCCAATATTGTACTGATCGGACAAAAATAGTAACAGCAGCTGGAAGCCCTGCTATACAGAATCATAGAATCATTTATGTTGGAAAAGACCTTTAAGATCATCGAGTCCAACCATTAACCTAGCACTGCCAAGGCCATCACTAAACCATGTCCCTAAGTGCCACATCTACATGTATTTTAAATACCTCCAGGGATGGTGACTCAACCACTTCCCTGGGCAGCCTGTTCCAATGCCTGACAACCCTCTCAGTAAAGAAATTTTTCCTAATATCCAATCTAAACCTCCCCCGCCGCAACTTGAGGCCATTTCCTCTTGTCCTATTGCTCATTACTTGGGAGAAGAGACCGACACCCACCTCACTACAACCTCCTTTCAGGTAGTTCTAGAAAGTGATAAGGTCTCCCTTGAGCCTCCTCTCCTCCAGGCTAAACAACCCCAGTTCCCTCAGCCGCTCTTCATAAGACTTGCACTCCAGGCTGCTCACCAGCTTCATTGCCCTTCTTTGGACACACTCCAGCACCTCAACATCTTTCTTGCAGTGAGGGGCCCAAAATTGAACACAGCATTCGAGGTGCAGCCTCACCAGTGCCCAGTACAGAGGGACAATTGCTTCCCTAGTCCTGCTGGCCACTGATACAAGCCAGGATACTATTGGCCTTCTTGGCCACCTGGGCACACTGCTGGCTCATATTCAGGCATGTGTCGACCAACACCCCCCGGTCCCTTTCTGCCAGGCAGCTTTCTATATGAGAATTCACAGTTAATAATGCTAACAGCAGAATGCCCACACATGAAACTGGAGTCCATGAGACATACCTGCTCTTTGATGATGGTTAATTCAGAGACAATGCTCTTTACACTGCTGTCTCTGTCTTTTTTGTCCTTTCCAAATGCTGGATTGTGTAAATTGACTTCTTTCATTGCCAAGAGATGTTGTCCGTTATGTTTTCTGACCTATGAAAAAGATAAAACCCTTGTAAAATTAATACAGGATGGGGACAGAATGGATATTATTATGGCTACCAGATTAGTTATCAGAGTCCAAACCAGTCTCACAACAGTTATAATCATAGCTTTTTCTGTGTATGCTGTGATTAGCCAAAAGAACTTGAGTCCCACAATACAGGTTAACAGTACACTGCTGAACTTATCACAGTGTTTGAAGTAACATTATCTGCACCCAGTGTTGCTTTTCAAATAAAACATGCTTGAATTTCTGTGGGTTTGCACAGATTTGTTAGCCTTTGCAACAGACAGAAATGCTCTTTGTGTTTAAAGTAAAAGTAGGAAACCTAAGAGATACACTGGTCAATCTTATAAATACAAGAGAGGACGAACAAAATCACAGTAAATACTAACAAGCCCAGATCCATAAAGGCCTTTTTGTACCTGCATTCCCCTACTGAAATTCAAAGGATGGTAGTGCCTAGAAGAGGTATTAGAGCCTCTTCATGAAGCCTCCCCTCAAACCTGTACATTAATACTAAAAGGGAAGTTTACCTTATATACGCTTCCAAAAGCTCCACTGCCAAGGTGCTCTAAAATTGCATAATTGCCTATAAGTTTTGTAGGTGCCTTATTCTGATTCATGCTCTCAATATTTTCAGCAATTTGCTTCAATTGATCCTCCTGGTTATACATTAAATGACAGATAAATAAACATAAAATATTTCATGCCTTTCTTGTGCTAAGAATGTGCAAAGAATACAGCTTCTTCAAGCTATAAAGGTTTTTACTTACCTTTAATAAATTTAGCTTTGATACCAACTGTTCATAAGCACTGATATCACGCACATAATGTCCAATATCAATGAAGATTTCAAACAAGTCAGTAGGGAAAAGTCTACAAAGGTTTAAATTTTGATATATTTTAGAAACAGTGTACAGTAGCTATTAATATACAGCAGAGACTTTTCACTGTTTCTTATTACAACTTACTTTAGAACCTTCTAAATTATACACTTACTTTTTACTAATCTATTCAGATATTAACCCTCCAACATTACATATATAGGAGTTAAAGGACCTTTCAAAAGTCAGACTTCAGCCGGCATTGGTTGGGTATTAATGTAAATGCCAGTTCTCCAAACAAGTGTAAGCCCCTTTAAAGTCAATGCACCTCCTGAGTTTCCAGTAATATTACTGGGTTTTTTTCTTATAGTACTTTATATTATGCTTGTTGTCACTTTATCTGAGTTCCTTCTTGTAACGCATTAAGTGATAGGATTAACATTTGTCTGCACGCAAAGAATCATTACACCCATCTTAGAATTTTTGTCCAAGAAGTCTAGTCTAAAAGATGAAAAGGACTAAGAAAAGCAAAAGCTAACAGATAGTAGGCAATACTTCATTAATGACATGCTTAACTGAAGGTTTGTTTCTTTTTAAAGTTCTGGCAGAAGTAGAACTACAGAAAATTAAGGCATTTAGAAAAATACGAAAGACAGCAAATCAGTACAGATTTACCACTTTCAAAACTCGACACAAACCATGAACATTCATTACTAACTGGGGCCCTTTCAGTACAAAATCCACTTTTTAAAAGTAAAAATAAGGCAAAAGTTATATTTAGAATTCCAGTAATTTAAGACAGAATAAAATCATACTGAAACACTATTGAGAGGCAGACCTTCTAGGCAGTATGATTACTATCCTAATTCCACCAATCGAACTGTTAGGTTTTACACAGCCTTTGTAGCCAATCTGGTGAAACTGTCATCTTGCTAGTGAAAATGGGTAATTGAGTAAAGACATTTTCTCCTTATTGATCCAAACCTTTCAGCAACATTCCTAAGTAAACCAGGTTGATGCAAAGTCATTCCCATGTGAAAGACTGGAGGGCTCAGAGAAAAAATTTACTGCTCCCAGGGCTGTAACTTGCAACTGCTAATCTTCAGGATAAAAGTATGGTTTATCTCCAACAGTACTAAATCTGTCCTCAACATATTTAAAACTTTGATTCATGAGGGAGGAAGGAGCACCTACAGAGCTAGTTTCTCTGGCATACATACAACAGAAGTCCCCATACTGAACATCTAAATCTTGTAGGCTGGCACTGGTGCAATGCAGGAATGGCTATCTGTAGCTGTGCACAGGACAGAAGTTGCCCATTACTATTTCTTATTGTTGAAAATAAATGACACTTAAAAAACATGCCTTTCCAACTGGAGTGATGAATTTTGAAAGCTATCCTAAAGGAGTTTCACAAAACATTTTGTTAACATACCTTTTAAAGATATGTCGATTTCTTTCCATACTGAAGAGAAATCTCAGGGCTCTGAAAGCATAGCACTACAGCAGGAAAAATACTTAAATTAATGACAAATTTATACACGAATGGAAAAGTCACTGATAAACTTCAAGGATTCCCTTTGACTTTACACGTTGGTAAACTTTGTACTTAAATGACTAGACGGATTATGTTATTAACCTGATAATGAAGAGAGTAAAAATATATTAAGTTCCTCTTGTATTTTAAAAGTAGACAGGCCCATTTAGGGAGAAAAAAAAAAAAGTAAAAAAAAAAGTGGCTGACTATAGCTATAGCACACCCTGAGGAACATCTAAGTCTTAATCATCTCTTATTATTTGCAGATAGCCCAAGACTTGAGACCTGCTTTCTTCTCCAATGCTGAAAAAGGTAAATGTAATCAGTGGTTTTGTAATGACCAGTAGAAACAGCATTATCCATTTTTTTCTGAAAAATGCTGTGTGGAACACCATAAGTTCTAACAGGGGACAAGAAAGAAAAGTGAGAAAGAGAGAATAGTATTAAAAAAAAATGTTGACCAAGTTCATCATATTTACAGAGACCTTTATGTACCTCAGTTTCTATCTTTATGTACGTTAGTTTCGATATGATCTCTACTGAAGAAAATTTATTTTTAAAACAGCCACTGGCAGGTAGTTAATATGCATGTTTTTATGCAACTCATCTTTAATTCCATTTATCAAGAGCCAATAATATGGCACATATAAGGCTGACCAAACAAAGATGACTGTATAAAGTAAGCCAAAGGGAAATAAGATATTGATATCTGAAACAATGCAAATAGTAAATGCTTTTAACATAATTTAGAATTACTTTATTGCATCAGTGACTAAAACACTACTACAGTCCAGTGTGATAATCCCTATTTAGACAATGGTAACTGTGTCTTAGTGATAACTGCAGAATTAATCTCCATGTTAAAACCAAATCTTTCAATATATAGAAAATGCATTAAATAAGAAAATAAAGGCCAAATGCTACTTTTGAAGGAAGGAGGATACTTGAAATTTTACAGAAAAGGAATGTATGTTAATGCTGCTAAAAAGCTGTCTCTTTTACAGATGTTTCTTTTTAGTCCAAAGTAAACTCCCCAGCCCAGGAGAAGGATGGTATATTATGATGTCTACCATTCCACTGAGAATCACAACTTAGCTGTACAAAATAACCCAGACCAGCTGGGCCATAGTTGCTACCTTGAAAGTTTTTCATTTTAGAGACTATATATAGATCTTACTGCAGAAAGCCCATCAGTGAAGGGACATGATAACAGATTAATAATGTGATAAATATGTATTTTAAATGGCAATAATATTTGTCTTTCTCACAGCAGTATTGTAAGATTAATATTAAACATTTGTGATATGCTTCAATTAAGGCATGATTTTTATATATGGTGCATATGCAGAATAAATGTCTGATATCACTGCTACCCTTGAAGCAATGCAGTAAGATCACTAAGGTAGTATGGTAGAAAGAAGCTGAAAATTTAATTGTTGAAAACACCGACAATGGAGCAGTAAAGAAACCAGAATTGCATTGCAAGAATTCTAAGAAAAATGCCTATGAAATTTAAAAAGGGTATTCCAATAGCTGCAACTGTATTGCATAGCAGTAACAATGATAAAGTAAATACAGATAGCGATGTGAGAATCTGAACAAGGTTTCATAAAAAATACTTCTTGCTGTTTGCCTGAAACAGTTAGTTTTCATATGTGATCATTAAGTCCATTATTAATTCACATACCTTCATGTTTAACCCAACTACAGTTGCTTAGTATCTTTTCTGAGTTATTTCCAACACATTTGGCTGGAATCTAAAAATCTCAGCGGGCATAAATTAAGGTCCTTACAGTTGTATGAAGCAACTGTGCTGAGCATTAGACTCCATGTTAGTTTCATATACTCTCTAGGAAGATTTTTTTTTATCTCATTCATAAGCTGATTTAACTGAAGTGCACTACAAAACCTCATTGCAGAAGAAAGGGACCTACTGCATTGAATCTGCACTCCAACCCTAATCTAGAACTGCGATGAGAAAGATGACACTACAATGAATTTTTGTGTGTGTGTATAAATGCCTTCCCTCACTATTCAGGCATGTCTTACCTGATTAGATAGTTGAGTAGCTATGTAGCCACGTTAGTGGTGGGCTATGCCAGGACAGAGACCAGGTGAGAGGCAGGATCCTGACTGCATTCAACTGTGCTAAGGATCGCCTCACACTCGCCCACAGAAGGGCAACTGGAGCAGCAGCTGTTCTGTTCATCCCTGAACCCCAGGCTGCTACTTTCCTATAGCTTAGAGAGACATCGACACCATTTCACAGAGGCTGGAGAAGAGCTACCAGATAATTAATTACTACTGATAACTTTTAGCCTAAGTTGACTCAAACCAGTATAATTAGGGGGGTATTGACATGCAAAACCAAGAGCCATTCTACACGTATTAGCTCTATATTTATCCTACATCTAGATTTGCTCTACCTCATGTGACGTGTTCCTGTATTTCATTTAACAGCCACAGTAAGATGTTCCAGAAAGAAACAGGTAATAGTACAGTGTCAAATCTACAGTGAGTGTCAATGAAGACCAAGATACTAAAAAGATGATCTGATGCTGGGCAGCCTGAAAAAGTGGAAGAAAGATTATCACAAAAAAAATGTTCACTTTCCTTTACACTATATGAGGTGCCAGAAACAAAGTAGATCAGAACAGAACACCAGAAATTGAGTCACTATTTAACTTTTAGTTCCTGGGCCATTTGTTATTCCTAGTTTTGTTTTCGTGGGATTTTTTTTCCCCTTTAAGTAAGATTTTTTTACTGCACATTTAAAATAAACTTTAAAATCATAAAAAATTCTCAGGGACTGTTTGGGGCTTTCAATGTGCAATAAAAATAAAAGGGAGTTACCTGTAATAAACTATTTTTTTCAGCATTCCTTTCTTTGTTTGGTAAAATCAGCTTTGCTATTGTATATATTCCATTTGCCTGGAAACAGAGAAAGGTCAGTATTAACAGCACCCTTTTGCATAGAAACCACAAATAATAAAAAAATGTTACTTCAGATATATCAGAAGCTAATACCAACTGACAAGTTCTCAACATCCTACTGCATACCTAAATTATAAGCTCAAGTGACTTAAATGTATATAAGAATTAAATCGTCATTACATTTAAACTGATACCACAAAGAGAGCTTGTGAACAGATAATGAAGCAATGCTTCTATCTCTAGAGGTGAAGGAAATTGCAGCAACAGATATCCTGTCACCATGTGCATATTTTGAATTGTGAGGAACCAAAAATCCAGTCACAATAAATACAAACTGGAGAAACACCGGAAGTGATAGCCTGAGGAGTACGTCTGTGCCTTCAGTAGAATTTTGTGAAAACCACACTGCATTTCAGCTTCCATTTTTATATAACCATGTGTCCTCCATTAATATATCCATCATGTTGGTTTGATAGATTGGCACTGGTAGATTTAGTTACAGTCCTGCTCCCAGTTACTTGACAAGCTCCCTGTTGGAGACTACTCTCCTCTCTAGCAGAGCTGAAGGGAATATGTGTCAGCTCTGCAGAGGCTCTGCTGCAGTTCCTAACATGTTTTCTTAAACCATTCATGAAGGTAGAGTTGAGCTAATGTTTTAGGCTGTGCAGTAGAGCCATTGAGTCAGAAACACATTCTGGCCTGCTACCACAATTGTTGCAGACTGCTACCGAGGCTGTAAATTGAGACAAGGACACAGGATGGACAGAGCTAGAGGGCAGCTACAGCAGAAGCAAATGGTTCTCAACTGCCTGAACCAAGAGTCCTTTGCCACTGAATTAGATAAACCTTTAGAGGTCACTTAGATTGACTTTCTCAGCATGTAACTGAAAGAGCTGCAAATTTTCTTCCTCTAGCTGTTTTTAACCTAAGTGAGTTCCTTCATCTTGTTCACCATGCAACTCTCAAAGTTATATTAGTACAGAGAAAGAAGTAGGATTTAAAATGAAAGAGGCTGTCGTAGGGTGAAACTTCAGTTGAACTGAACTTGCTTGAAGCTATGTCCTGATCTGAAAGGGGGACACTGGCTGGTATTTTGACAAAGGGAGAGGTCATTGTCTTTTAACAGGATGAGTGGGGGAGGAAGTTAAGCTTGAAACACCTTTTCCCAGCCTACATATCATCCCATCAATTTCTAAGCAATTTACTGACAGTACGGTTACCGTGCACTGCTAGAGCAATGCAGAAAAACTCTGTTAAAATCAGCCTTTTATTTCCCAAGTTCTCCAGGAGTTACACTGTTTTCAAAATACATACAATTTCAATAAGCGATATTTTGTTTTGATGAAACCAGATTCAGCCTAAAATGTACGCAGTTACATTGTTCAGATAAAAAGCTGTCTAAATCAGTATGGTTTATTGATGATTTTAATGCTTAAGAATACATAGAAAATATTTTTTTCTAGACTTACTTCCATTCCTTTCCTCTTAACCAATAGTTTTGAAATACACACAAACTTCTTTCCTGGTTCTATTTAAGGCTTTTTGTTCTCTCATTTCCTCTAGGAATACCTCAGTTGGGTTTTAAGCTAACTTGAAGGCTTTGGTCACTGACTTAACATTTAGAGCATAAAAGCTGATACACCTTTTAGCTGGTATTAATGTCCTAAATATTTGTGTCTTTGACTATGTCTGGAATATGTACCAGGGATTTTAAGAATGGTTTTCAGAACCATAGATTCCAGCTGATTTAAATATTACATATTAAAATGCAGTTTAGAAACACTACCCTGAAGATGGAGTGCCAGGGAGTTACCTCAGAAATACCAAACGCTGAGGAAAAGAGAAAATGTTTGTGAAACAACAACATGCCAATATTAAGCTGCACAGAGTTTGTTTTAGTAAAATTCATGAAATTCGGAGTTTGTATTTCTCAGTCATTTCCGTGATTACCCTTATTTACTATCCTATTTTGAATACGGCAAAAGCATGGCAAGAGAAGCCAACCAAAATGAACCTTTTGTCTGAATAAAGCTGTTTATTCTCCCAGACAACTAGATACATACATTGATATCTTTGCATCTATGTCTCTGTGTGTAAATGTATAAAGAAACAGAGATACTAAAGTTATAGAAAGGCACAGTTTCCAATCCCTTTCAAATGCATTTCATTTGCTAATTAAATGATGGTAACAAATAAGAACAATTAAATCAAATTATAAACTATAATGCCTTACTTTACTGAATAAAGTCTTCCTACCTGTACAACCTGGTAAGCGTTAGTCTCATTGAGCACCAGTTCAGTAACTGCAGCACAACAAGCTAGAATAAAAATTCAGATGTGCTATTTAGGGCCCGATTCATAAAGATAGTCAGATAGCGTGGTGGGTTAACCTTAGCTAAGGGTCAAATGCCCATCCAGCTGCTCATTCACTCCCCCTCCTTAACAGGACAGAGGGAGAAAATAGGATGGAAAAGCTCATATGTCAAGATAAAGACAGGGAAATTGCTAAGCAATTTCCATCGTAGGCAAAACAGACTTGACTTGGGGAAAATTAATTGAATTTATTGCCAGTTAAAACAGATTTTGATAGCAAAATACCAAAGACAAAAAATTAAAACAACACCTTCTCCCCCACCCCGTCCATTTTTCCCTGGATCTGGTGGATGAGGATTACAGTCAGTACATAACAGTTCCACTCTGCTGCTCCTTTCTCCTCACACTTTTCCCCTGCTCCAGCACAGCTCCTCTCCACATGCTGCAGCGTGAATACCTACTCCACCCAGGTCTCGCCCATGGGCTGCAGGGGAATCTCTGCTCTGGTGCCTAAAGCACCTCCTCCCCCTCCTTCTTCTCTGACCTTGGTGTTTGCACTGCTGTTTCTCACGACTTTATTTTTTTTTCCTCTCCTCTTCTGCTCACCCAGTGTTTTTGCCCTTTCTTAACTGTTTTCACAGATGCACCACCAGCTTCGCTGATGGATTTAGCTTTGGCCAGCAGTGGGTCTGCTGTGGAGCCAGCTGGAACCAGCTGTGTCCAGCACTGGGCAATCCCTTACCTCTTCCCACAGAAGTCACCCCTGCAGGCCCACTGCTAACAAAACCTTGCCACCTACACCCAATACACAAGGCTAAAAATATAAACAAGTACTCAGAACTAAAAAAGACCTCTGTAAGTTCAGTGCTTACTTTCTTAAAAGTCCTTAAGGAAGGCAGAAGTAACACAGAAGTATGCCCCACGCTGGCAATACTTTTGGTACTGCAACTTATTTCACATTACCAGCTCTTCAGAGGTAACATTCATGATAAAGCATTCAAAAACACTTAGGTATTATGTTACAGCTTTCAGGAAGATACTGCAAAGACTCATATAATCCTAGTAAAGATATTTTGCATTGTCCCTCTATAGTCACTGGAAAAATACAGGATCCTCCAGAAGGCATTTCAGGATGGATAGTTGATGTGCTATTGAGAAATCTCCTCTAAAAGGGATTCTCTCCATAACTACTAAGGAATTCTCACCCGACTGGTAGTCTTTAAAATATCACTTTGAAAGAGTTCCATCATAATCAATTCATGATTGATCTACTATAGTAAATTTGAATAAAGAGAAAAATATCATCAAATAAAAATAATCCTAGGCTAAAAACAAAATTTTAAAAATATATATAAATATATGAGATGTTTTTACAGGTGGAAGAAATATATATGATTCCCATGTACTTAACACTTTACCCTTTGCTTCTTCCTAAAAAAAAAAAAAAGTGTGCTTTTTGAAAATATGTGCTGGTATTGCATATTTAGAAATAAACACAGCTGACTTGGTGCTCCTAACTCCCTAAAGCAGGTATAGAAGTGTACAATTTCAATTTTGAAATCTTTTGAACCTCTTTGCGCAAGTGTAAGTAAACACATAACAGAGAATTAGGCCTTATAAACCTACCTGCTTGAAGTGAGAAAGTATTTTCTTGTATCTCATCAGGACTCAAATCATCTGACAAATGAAGATGTTGGATTCTCCCTGCTGCGTTCGCACTAGATAAACTTCCAAGTGAAGAGCGATCACAAACAAGATTTCTTTCCCTGGAAAAAAAAAAAAAAAAAAATTCACAGTGTAAAAAAATGGCTTAACATATCTTTGTTAACTATTTCTGAAGTTCTGAAAATTTTTATGTTTTTCAATAAATAAGCTAATATACTTTGAAAAAGTAAAAAAGCCTTTAAACAGAAAATTCCTTTACCACGTTCATCAATTATATTCACAATTCTAGCTCACGAAATAGGTGTCTGATTAATAGGGAATCTAAGTAGACAGCAATGACATTTATAATCTATTCATTATTTAGTTTATACATTGAAAATATGAAAAACACCTTAAGATAACAATTAAATATTCACAGCTGAAAAAAATACTGCTTATTCATTATGGTCTAAATAGCCTTTTAATTTCTGCAGACATCACATACAGCTGAACAAAACAAAGATGCTATTTGATAAAAGAGGACTTGGTCAAATATATCATATGAAACAGTCTCATGTAATTGCCACAATGTTGAGGACTGAAAACCTACCCCTGTAATATATGAAGGAGCTGTTTGATTCCACCCCAAATCCGTATTTCCACACTAGTCTCAGGATCTTCACAAACCTGTACCAGAATCCAAACTATACTCCATAGAAGTTTGATATGATCACAATGGAGTAAACTGAGCAAGACTGGAACTCCTTCATACATTTTTACTTGTTCTTTGACTTGTGACTCTGCACAGAGGAGACGTAGCAACTCTGCTGTGAGCCTAAATAAAATTAGCAAGAAATTTTAACAATAACTCCATCATTACTTTGTATTGTCAGTTAGCAAAGGGAAAAAAAACCACCGCAAATGTTTAAGAACAGAGACCTCCTATAAAAAAAGAAGTTAAAGAAAACTGCTTAAAGTCACTGTAAACTGGTTAAAGTCACTGTTTAAAAAAAAAAAAGAAGAAGGTGGTCCAAATTTTCACAAGGGATGAAACTATATTTACATTGAGTTTGACTGTCAGCATAGGCAGCCAAGCATACACAGCCAGAGCGGAGGTGGCCAGGTGGACTGCAGTCATCCGTGGTACCACCTTCTTGTTAGTGGCATTAGTACTACAAGTGGCACTGACTGCATGAACTTGTAAAGTCCATCTGAGGAATTAGAATAACTCTACAAATAATCATGATTCTTCTCCAGTATGGTTTGAATATTATGTTTAGAAAAGGGATTGGATATATAATTTAAAAGGTTTATACAAAATTTTCATTAACTTCACTCCAGTTAAGGTAGACTTTCCATAGAAAATATGGTTAGGGATTTCCATTTCCACTTGAAGCAAAAAAGCTGCATGTGTGTTTGATGAAAGAGATGAATTCAGATTCATATCCGAATTTAAAATTATTCTTAACTAACACTGAACTTCATCAGCATCCTGTCTACATTCTAATTCCAGTTTTTATAACGAACTTTTGGTTTACATATAATCTAAATAATTTAAAACCCAGAAATTAAATAAAATCTTTTGGTATATTCAATTTCTTTATCTTTAGTCGTATGTAAAATAATTAACATGTGTGAAATAATTAAGCATTAAATTTTAAAAATCTCTTCAGAATTTTAAATGTGATAGGGTAAGTGACATATCACATTTGAGTGTCTTTTGGTTTCTTACTGAAATGCAGATATACTATGCTCAGCTAGCTGTCTTAGCTGAGATGAAAGGACATTTAAAGAACCGAAAGAACCTTTATGATTTTCTGACTGAAGGGATGTGGGGTCTGACCCAGCCTCTGGCATAAACTAGAACAGCTACATGTCTTGCAATTTTCACTAGTTTATACTGGGCATCCCAGTAACTATCAGAGTTCAGCATGCTTTCTGTCTAACCACTCAGGTCTGCCAGGAGCAAAGAGGAGATGCACCAAGAAAAGTGATTGCTATCACTTTATGGTAACATTGCAATTTATCTGCACTGCACCATAGGCCATCAGTGGAGAGAGAGGAGACAGCTTATAACAAAACTACTAGAAAAGATTTTGCTATTTCAATATCTGACTGAAAACACATAGGTGTCAGAACTTTACCTTGAGTATATTAAAGTGACACATTATCTAATTCCTCTAAATAAACATCTCTAAGTGAAAAAGTCAAAATACATTTTAACACGATTAATCTACAAGCAAAGTCTCACCTTTTAGAAAGCAAATCATATTCCTGTAATATCACCAGCAAGGTCTCAACAATGGTGAGTTCACTTATCTTCTCCCTACATTCTGGACTACAAAGTGATTATTCCTGGCATTTATATCAAATTAAATTATATGAAAAAACCATATTGCTCTTTAGCCTCACTCCTTATACATTTGACCAATTATTTTCTTCTCAAGTCTTAAGTAATAATATCATATCGTGCACACAAATATTTAAAGCCACAAAAATATGCTGGGTCAAGAGCGACAGGGCAACAATTTCCAATTTTCCCGTACAAAAAAACTAAATGTGAATGCATAAAAGTAAAGACACAAATGTATTTAATCTGGTTCATACTAGAAATTAAGCAAATGAGGTACATTATTAGAATCAACTACAATTTCCATGAACATTTGTGATATACTCCAAACACTTTCTTGCCCACTCCAAATGTACACAGAATTAAATGTGTAAGAACGTTAAATGGAAGTTGAAAATGTATGTATAACATCATTTAAATTAATATCGATATTAAAAAAAAAAACAACAAACCTGAAATAGAATGAAAGAAGTTTGGGAAAAGAGAAAATCCAGAGAACTCTTACTAAATAAATTTCTACTGATCTCAAGGAATTTTATCTATTGTCTTCAGTTTTGTAATTTTCCTTATAATTTTTCATTTGAAATATAAAATTGTAATACAAGTCTGGAGGTCAGCAGAACAATACTGTAGAAGCAGCAGCTTTTCTTCTATAAAACTATTAAGGATGAAAGATACTGTATCTTCCTTTTCTTTTTTTCCCTCCACACCAGGAAAAAAAGTCTTATCTTTATTTAAAACAGTCATTAGTGAAGAGAGGATACATATACACGGATTTGAGCATATGCATGCATTATTTACTACACTGAACAATATTCTGCTGGTTATTGTGAGGCACTGTTATATTAAGCTCAGCACAAAAGCTTTTTATATGCAGGAAGTCAGTAAGCATTCCAGAATCCTGCACAGGGATTGCAAAGAGAAACCTCTGACTCCAGTCTTGCAAAGTTCTCCACATGAGCAAGAAATCTGTTGCAAGGACTAAAGTTTCTACTTAGTTTCTACTGCTTCAATATAAAATTAAGCACACTTCGCTGACCTCCACAGAAAAAGGCCTCATTTTGGAAAAAAAAGAAGTCTTCCTCATAAACAGCAGTTTTAATATTGTCTCGAGATAACATTAAAATGTTTATTGTGAACTACAGCACATTAAGCTGAACTTACCTTTCTGCTAGGCTAGTCAGAGCAAGGAGGGCACCCAAAAGCACACTGCTGTCTCTGGCAGATAACAAATTTACTAGGGTCTGGAAAATGAAACATGAAACAAGATAAAAAATATAAATTATATTATTTTCTTTTATGACTCAAACACATATAGAGTTATTTATTGAGAAGTCAAAATTAAGAAACCAAATCCTTAAACAATACACTAAAAGTCTTAACTACATTTAAAGAACACTTAAATATACACTTAAAGTCTTAGAATACACCCAGGCTTAGGACAAGCAAGGATGTTTCTTCTCAAACTGCAATTAGCATCTCTCTTAACTGCTAAAGCATCTGTCCAACTTAATATACCACTGTAAAAAATCTGTTCCTGTATAAAACACTTCAGAACTCTAAATCAAGGCCTCCTGAAGCAGCAAGTTAACTTTAAGTTTATATTTAAACAATGCAGTATGTAATTTCAGGCCCTGCATATATTCTGTTAAAGATTTATACCAAAGTAAACTTCATAGTGGTCTAGATTGTCTAAAATTATGTTGTCTGATACTTTCTGATCACAATTGCCAACGTTTTACTGCAGCATAATAGAATCATGAAGCACTAGTTATACTGATCTTGATTTCTACTGTTTCTCAGTTTGGCCACAAATCAGAAGTGGTTAAGTATAGATCCCTGGACTGACGCTAGAGCATTAGCAAGCAATGCCTAGGTCGTCACTTTCTAGGTTGACACTGTTCCATTTAGACACAGAATACGTTATAAGTGAAAAATCATAGTACAAATTTTTATAAAAAATACATTTATATTAAAAAATTATATAAAACAAATTATATCATAGTAACATATATCTCAGGACAGTGTAAACATGAGCACTAATTTTTATATGAATAAGTATAGTCCAAACATTTAAGACCTATTTATCTCAAACAACTACTAACTATGCATCAGGCCAATTAACTTACATAAAAGAAATAATTTTTGTAATACTACTAATACATCTGCAAAACACAGAAATGAGAATATCTTACTTTACAAGCTTGACAAGGTAAGGAATTTACTCCCACCTAGATCAAATCTGAAAAGCGCAAGTCATTCAGTTAAGTAGCTAATTGGTTATAATTAGCAATTTTATAAAGCACTTACTTTATGTGCTCCACTTGCTATAACCCATTCTCTTTGATCCTTAACAGCAGCAAGCTTCTGGAAAATATCTATGGAACAAAAAGTCACATAAATTGAAGCTTTATCGCTTAGTATTTTTAATTTTACTAATCAGATAATAATGCAAAACACTGGATAAGTTCTTTGAACCATGACTAGCTCATTTTACTCTGTTATTTCAGTGCATAGAGGTATTGATTTGTTAAGGAAATATTACTTCTGTACAAAAACAAGATGTGCTTTTTCACAGCAATTTCAGTTTTTACTTGTGTGATGATGCCTACAATGAATCTAGTAATATCTTACTTAATGACCATCTCAAGTATTTTAAGCATTTTAAGCCTCACACAAAAAGTTGTAAGTGCTCTTATAATTTATGTTACCAACTATAATACTTACATGTCATGTTGACCAACTTGTCTACATTATGCTGCCTTTCTCCATAATCAAGATAGCCATTTGCTACTGTTTCCATATACTACAATTAGGGGGAAAAAAATAAAGGATACCATTAAAAAGAAAGTTTTAAGAATTCATAAACCTAGAATGTTATGCACAGAAATAGCCTGTAGGTGGTGCATGTGTTTCACGAAAAAGGTAAGCCTGCAACATCCCGCAGTTTTGCTGTAAAACCTGCCAGGGAACAGAAGAGATCTTTGAAGTGGAAGAATTCAAAAAGCAAGTGTAAAACTTGGCAAGAGGAAAACCTACTGAAGACTATCAAATACAATGACCCTACTTCTAGGGCCAAAATTCCCTTCTTTGCAAGTTGCTAGAGGTTGATAAGACTTTTGGGGGGAATTATCATTTCATGTTTCCGCTCTCAAAACTTTTACCTCAGCATCTACTACTGGCCACTGTTGGGAACAGCCATACAGATGATGGGCTCAGACTCTACAAAACCTACACAACTGCAGGGAGGAGGGGGGTGTTTCTTTTTTTTTTTGGACATAGCCAGCTGGTGGGAAATGGTGGTCAATCTTTTTTAATAACCCTAATAACTTCCTGGCCAAACATATTTTTCCAGAAAATTAGGATTATCACAAGGATGTAATGTTTGTTGGTACACAAAATCATGATATGATTCTCGGCATCACTTATATATTGGTCTTACAGATGGCTGCACTTTGATATTTCCAGAATACTGTATACAGAAACTACAGCAGGTTCAAGCATATGGTACAAGAAAGGCTAGAACTACAGTAGCAGCACATAATTTAGAAAGAAAACTCACATGAGGAGGACACTACTATGCAAACTAATATTGGTAATAATAATTTTATTAGTTTTTTCTACTATAACAGCCCAAAACACTTTAAAATCAGAACAGTTTTTTATCTGAAACTGCCCCCCAAAATAAAAAACGTTTTTAATGCTGTATAAAACAGTCTCATGGAGGATTTCAGACTTGTGATTTGGCAAGATTTGGATGCACAATTTTCACCTTGAAATTACTGCCACCCTCCAAATTTCTGAGGGATTTTTGATAGCCTCAGCTATAACTTTTTTCAAACTGCATTTCAGAGTGCTGGAAACCCTTTAACACTTGATTTTATCTCACTGCAAAGGACACAAAAGATTAAGTCCCCAGAAATCATAAAAATTGTATCTCATGACTTTTAAAATTCTCTGTGCCAGCAACACATGCATAGTAAAAATGATTATCAATTGTACAATTTGGATTCCTGCCACTGAGGACTCCACTTGCAGATGTTGCCAATGTCTCAGTAAGCCATTGCACTTTGTGCTGTGCAAGCTCCTCAAAAAGTATGGCTAAGCATTAGTGACATGCGACACTGGAAAACAGCAAGCAGTTCCTGTGGGAACCATATCCATTAGAAACTAATAATCTTGAACTCCTGCAACTTTAGGGACGTTTCAAACAGGTGATTGTCCTACCAAAGGGCTCAGAGCACACTATTGGCTCTTTGAAATACAGCTGGCTCCATAAATATTAATGAATGATGACTGCATTCTAGAAAGATACATTTGTTACAAAAATTCTGGTTTTTTTCTAGAAAGAAAACTCTCAACAATTTCACAGGTATTCAAGATATGTCATATCTCACTGCTAAATTGGCACTGATGAACAAGTATTAAAAACACAGGAGTAAAGCAGTATTAACACAGCAATAACAATACAGCAGTGACTTACCAATAATGTTTTGTAATGCAAAAGTACTGTAGTCCCCAAATCTAAACCTGTTCAACATTCTATCGCTATGCTTTTACCTTTGAAAAGTCATTTGCTACTGTTCAAGGTGACTTTACTCATCTTCTTTCAAAGGTCTACAGTTTCTTTTGACTGAACCAATTGTGCTGACTTTTCTACTCCTTCTCCCACTTCAGGAGGCATTTGTGAAGCCTCCTAACTAAAAGTCCTGGGTTAATGCTGCTAGATTATAAGGACAGTTGCCTTGTATACTAGTGAAAAAAACCACACCAACTGCTTATGTGCAAACAGAGGAATAGACTTGCTTCTTTCCATAAACCAAGAACATACGCACACTGCTTTTTGTAGTGTATTTCATTCTAATCATAATAAACTGACATGCAACATAGTGGACAAAGGTACTATGAGGAATTCTACCTGAGCTAGATTTTCAATCCCACCCAAGCTGTGGAGCATTTCCTAAAAGAAAATAAAAAATTTTTAAAAATTTGTGTCAAAATACAGAAAACACAAGAATGAGAGAACACTAGAATATAAATGCTCTGTTTGTTATGAATATTGAAAAACCTTAACTCCAGTGGTTGAAGTCAATGGATTCTGGAGATGCTTAGCACCTTCAGAGTTCAGAATTACTTATAATAAGTAGATAAATAAAAACACAGAAGTGAAATTTTAAAGGTTCTAAAACTGGAAAAACAGTATAAGCTTTGGAACACAGAGAAAAGAAATACACAAAAACTAATATCTTAACAAATGTCTGAGGCTTAGTCCTATGAATACAACTGTAATAGCCAGAATAAAATTAAAAGCTAGTTGTTTGTAGTTGAGAGCATTAGGCTGCTAGGAGGAATAGGCAGCTTTCAGTTTTCTTCACTTATTACATTATGGGAATTTTACATATCTATATGGTAAAGTCAAGTATGGAGTCTAGGGCTCAGAGCAATGACCAAGCCATCTGTTACGAGATTTACAGGTTCTTTGTTAGGGTTAGCAACAACAGATGCTACATAAATATCAGAAATTGAGCAAGTTGTGCAGTAACAGTGCAAATTCACTCTTGGAATCTGTTTGCATGTCCCATCTTCATATATAGAAATTTAGGTACCTACATATAATAAGTACGCATCCATAAGAATGCATGTTTTTATACACATGCACCAACACAACTCATATTCATGATGCTTATATGCATCCTCCTACCTAAGCAAGAAACAGTATTTTGACATACTGACCTGATAGCATGGATCCCTTATTAATAATCTCAGGCAGATTAATACTCTAAGAAAATGGATGGGCGGAGCTTGATTAGCCCACTCTCTGTAAAAGAAATACGCATAAAAACATAAATCTAATACAATTTTAAAAGTGTTAAAACACTTAAATAAAACACTTTGATTCGGGAATCAATCAACTAGAAGATTAGTGACCTACAACAGCTGTACAACAGACTAAACTACAGAACTTTTAATACCATTTATATTCAAGCATAGTAACAGCATTAAATAAATTTATTTCATTATATGAACATTGCCAGCCATCACTCATTACCATTGAACTGATGCAGGAAAGTGCATGCTTATCTCTAAGGACAAACTGATCATGCTTTGATATAAACTTACTTTAAGTGTTTGGATCAAGGTCCAAAAGGGCAAAATCACTGAGAAACCACTTACCAAATTTTGGTGAACAAAATACACTTGTGTAAAAATATGGGTGTTACAGAAGTAAAAATAGCTAGATTTGAAATAATTTTTTGAATTATCATAATCTATCCTGGGTTTTAAAAACTCTAATACTATTAGTCCTTGGAATAATTTGTTATTTAGTTTAAATGTTCTTGATATAGGATTATACTTCCAAATAGAACTTCCTCTTTTATATTTCTCCATATAATTCCCCAGCACAAGACTTGGCAGAAACACAACTCAGATTTGCACAAAGCATCCAGGGGCAGTAATCCTGCATAAAATACCAGTACCGGAATCGCTATTTCCATTATCTGTTGAAGGTATATATACACATTTTCCTATTTAAAATAAATGTAAAATTTTACATCATTGCAGTGGGTTTTTTTGGTTTTGTTTTAACTGAGAGGACAGAATCTGTAGTATGTGGGCAAATTTCCGAGGAATGGAAGAAGTCTACAGGACTTGGCAGTTGTCTTCCCTTTTTATCATTTGCAGTTGGGAATGATGCCCATAGCTAAAAATATTTTTATAAAAATAAATATTTTACAAATAGATACTAACAAAATCTCAGCCCTTCTATGTCAATATTTTGCCCAAAGTAATATTTTTCATTATGATTCCATAATTGGCCACTTCAGAACAGCACAAAACTTTCATGGAAAGAAAACAGCAACCATCTACCTGTAGGCAACATTTATAGGTCAGATTTTAATGTGGCCTGACGACCATTACCACGGTGGTTCTACAAAGGCCTTCTTTCAACAAGCTTTGACTCTTGACAGAAGTCAGTTGCTTAACGGAGCAATGCATCTGTCACATTTCCAAGCAGGGACAGTAATTCTCTGAGCCTGGTTAAGAGCCTCTTCTACTACAGTTACATTTAAAATACACATTACTAGATACCCTAGCATATATCCAGCATATGCCAGCAGGATTTTTTCTGCCTGCTTCGTTATACTCCTTATCCAAACTACTTACGCTAACCTGATCACAGCTTTCTTGTCAACAAAACTACCTCCAACCAGGACTTCTGCTGACACAGTGATGCCAATAAGTGGGTGTGATTTTTTCTTGCACCCCAACCAACACAGTTATGCCAGCAAAAGTACATAATGCAAACCAAGGTGAGAGTTTCTAAGGCTCTGATACAATGCAATGGCACTAGTTCCAAAGAGAGAACATCATCACAGCCATAGCAAAATATTTACAAAGGGCAACTAAATCACCTTTGTAACTGCACTTACCTTATGGGTTCTACATACCTACTAATATGTGATTTCATTAACCTTACCTGGGTGCTTTCATTTTTAATACAAGAGGCTGGTTTTGCTATATCATCAACAACAACAAATACCAAAGAAAACAAAAAACAGAATATTAGCTAGGTATGCCACAATATATAAACAGAACTTGGAAAGACACAATGTAAGTTATTCTTAGATTTTTGGCAAATGAAGCTGGGCCACTGACATCCCACTAGTGGATACTGAGATAATAAAGTTCACTTGCAAAAAAGAGGTACCAGGTTTACAAATCACTTAAATGATCTGTCTTAAACTCACTGCTATTTAGATAATAAAAAATGAGATCCCTACTTCCCTAGTTAGTTCTGAAAAAGGGTCTAAGCAAACCATGTGATTTTTAGGTTCTTCTGTAAATTCTAGCAGTTACACATTAACACCTTTAAATCCTCTAGGATTCCTTCTTTAAGCTTCTGTACCACTTAAGATTTTTTTAGAGAATGGACTTGGGCTTTAAAAAGGAAAAATACAACACACTGCAGTGGTGTATAGTAGAAGAAATCCTGAAAAACACATTCTTTTTGTCAGAAAATATCTTTCTCTGCCCCCACTATTTTTTTTTAAGTCTTACACTTCTTCCTCACTCAGATAAGAGTAGCATAAGAAAGGGTTTTCCCTTTCTAATCCTGTTATACACAAGAATGCAAATAAATATGAACAGTAGCATAAACTCATCTGAATTTTATGAAAGCCACTGACCTTTCCATATATAGGCAGCCGTCCATAAAATACAAATAGAATCAGTAAAATAAAAATTAAATTAGAAAAGCAAACCATAGATTACAGATACCAGACATGGATAAATGATCAAGGAAACATAGTGGCTGTTAGAATTTTGGTCATCCAAGTTTTGTCATATACCCCGTCCTCCTTTCTTCAGTCCTACTAACCCAAGCATTCGGTCTTCAAAACCAATACAGAAGTGATTGTTTAAAACAGAGATTATGCAGAGATGTGAAGCTGGCAGTTTCCACACAGAGGTCTATGGTTGAAACATATATGCCGTATATATTGTTGAAACAATATTAAATATTACCCATGCATCTTGGTTCTTTGCTTAAGGCAAGAGTGACCCTCCTTCTTGGATACGAATATATTCAATATACTGACCTGCAGGTAAGTCTGTTCTTAACTAAAGCTGTAAAGATCTCTTGAAACAGCTTATGTTTAGGATGTTTGCTGAAATTTCTCTCATTCTTGTAGGTCACACTAATGAGGGAGGAAAAAAAAAAAGAAAAATGCTGAATTGCTCATTATCTTGCTTGCCAAAAGTTAACATCAGCAAGAAAAATTAAGAAACATCATAGCAGCAGTTACTATGGAATAATAAAATTTCAGCTTTCCAGACATTAACAGTATGGAAGAACAGTCCGTCTCATGCATAATTTGGGACTATTATAATGATATAATATAAGCTTTCCAAATAAAGAAACCATTACTTTGTTTAAATTTACTGTATTAGCTCTCAACAGTACACTCTGGTGAGTGGGAGCATGTGTCTGAAACTTAAAAGGGCAGGAACATTCACAGTTAGGTTTAGAAAGTTAAAAATATATAATTCATATCTCAAATAGTGGGTTAACATGAAAGTACAAGTAACAGACATAAGCACAAATATAAATGCCTTCAACACCTCAACAAGCTGTAGATACATAAAGAGGTTCAGAGATACAACATAGTGTCGTCATAGTAGCTTTTTTTTTTTTTTTACCTAAAGTTTTCAAGCTCAACAGCTTCTGTTGATTCTTGCCATTGACCATGGGGTTTTTGTTCATTGCTTTTGACATTTTGCCAAGCTTTTGTCACACTGGTTTGACCACTTTCAAAATGTATAGCTGGAAGCTAAGGAGGAAAGGGATAGTATTCATGAGGCAAACACTGCATTTTAAGTTTTATAAGAATGTTATCAAGCAAAAGTATCTTTTCTCAAGTTCTGACTTGAACTTTGGACCTTTAACTTGCCATTATAAAACACACACACACCCTCTACGCAAAACAAAACTGACATGGTAGAAAACTGATGCAAAGCAAGGCTGTAAAATATGTGAAGAAGAGTGTCTTTTAAAATTTATAATAGTAAAGGTCAACAGAACCTGCACTCTCATTATCTCTGCTCCTTATCTGTCCCACTTCTACAACTGCACAGCCTTCATATTCTTTTCAGGTTGTAGAACTTGGATCTTTCAGCTTTCTGCTCAGAAGCAATTCCATGCCTCTATCCAGGAAGGGAGTGCATAACTCCTATCTCATATGGATGAATCCCTAAGTCATTTTGTCATATCTTTTTACAGAATAGAAAGGGAGAAAATGTTCTGGCATTCCAAGGACTCAGACCCATCATCACATGTTGGTTTTCTTTGCTTCAAATGGCAAATAAAAGCTTCACTAAGCGAGCTGAGGTGAAGGAGATTTTACTGTGTCCTCTAAGTTTCATGCATTGATATTTATGCCCTGAAGATTTTTAGCTGAAGTGTTATTCTCCAAAGACAAATTGTTTATGGGTAAAACACTGATCTTATTTTATATTCTTTACCACTCTTCATCATATTGTAACTAATACATCTCTAAGCCTACCGTCCCATGACACTGTGGAAGGGCACAGAAGAAAACAGATCTGTTGGGCTACTTAACTATATGCAAAAATAGCTGGATAAAATGTGCTCAAGATACAAAACAAAGCATTTTTTTCCTGTTAAAATAAAAATTATGGCACAGTAGGATGGGAAGTGGGTCAGTTTCATTCTTTCACTCTTTCTAAATGGGATTTGTCCCATGGAAAAGCTCTAATGTTGCCAAAAGGGAAAAAAAAAAAAAAAAAGACATCCTCTACACAAGATTTTGCTTGTGTGTTTAATCATAATGGAACACAATATCCTAAGCATCTGCCACAAACCATAATCTCCATTACCTAGAATTATATAATTCTATAGCATGTTTAATAATAGTTATTGAAAAATACCTGTTGGTTCCTTGACTGAACATTTAAGAGAGACTGAAGTCTTTTAAGATCAGAATAATCCCTAGGATAAAACACAATAGCATAAATATATGTGTTAATAGTTATATAAAAGTACTTCTGTCAGAGTAAAGAAGGTCAACAAGCAACAATGCTAACGACAGAAAATAAAGTTTTCTAGTGTTGCCTAGTGTCCCCATTTTGCATACAGAAGAATTTATAGCTTCTCCAGAATGCCTCAGATCAACAAAGGTGTAAATAAACTTTGTGACCAGAGTAACAGTTGTCATGTTTATACTGCATTTCAAATTAAAGCATTCTGCTTTGGCAGCTAGTGCAAATTCCACATGGGTCCTGCTGAAGTTCAAAGAAAGACGTCAGATACTATACCTCATAGAGATCCCATGAGGTTTTTTGTCTGTTGCTCTTTCTGTGCTCTTCAACTTTTTGTCCTGACCAGGCATTGTGTATCACTATTATCATCACATGGCTAAAAACTCATTTCCTTAAAAATAAAGTAGAAAGATAGAATTTTATCACTGAAGCAAAAGCAACACATATTTACTTACAGAACCAACTGATATAACTTTAAGAAAAAAAAAAAAAAAAACCAACTTTACCATTTTCTCAACATGAACCCTTGGGCATTATATGAGATTATCCTTTAGAATTCCAGATATGAACAAGAAAGTAATTAACCTAACATACAGCAACCTTGGTTTCCCAACACATGGGTAGATAATACTGGCTGTCTTGCTATTGCACATATTTTTGATTAGGATTTTTCCTCTTCTTGCATCTTATTACCATTATTTCTCACTGTGGATTGGCTATTTACATTACAGCAGTGCTTACAGGCTGACGTCAAGGTTGAATCATACAAGCTGCTGTCCAGACAACAAAGAATATAATAGCTTTACCATCTAAATAAACAAGACAGATGAAGGGTAAAAAAAGGAGGTATCTGACAAATAAATGAGATGCATACATCATGTGGTCTACCAAACAACCACAGAAATTTTCAGTAGTTTGGAATCTTGATCTTCTGAATTTCAACTGAATGCCTTACACCAATAGTACCCAGCTTTTCTTGCAGTGGGACACACAGCTTATTTCCACAGATGAGCAGAGCTGTATGGCCTGGCCTTATTAGGGCCATTACCGCATATTAGATCCACTGCAGACAAACATTCAGTCTGTAGGTCTGACTTCCCACAAAAGCCCACAGTTTGTTGCTTGCATAATATCCATTTGTTCACTGAAAATCTTATAAAGCCCTAGAAAGAGACAGAAAGACATAGAAAGAGGATAGTCAACAGGAATCTCTTGCTGCCACAAAAGCAACTATATTGATGCAGATCCTGCTCTGAGTGAAAAAATGATGGTCAGGAGCAGGCTGGGGCTGAAAAATTATCCCAGAGAACTGCATACAGCTGCAGCATATTGGTAGAGCACCTCCAATTTAAAAAACAAGGATATACCACCACTGTCTAATCCTTTCAACCCATTTTACTATTCACTAAACATGGACTGTTTGGATGTTCCCCTTGGTGTCTCTTGAATAGGATCTTCCATATGAAATATGATAGCCTCCTTTTCTCTTTGTGCAGTGTAGAACTCCTCTGCTGTTGATTTTTAGTCCTCTTACTCATAGAGGCAAAGAAGAAAACCTGGCGGGAATCAAAAGCATTGCAAACTACCAGAAGTTGCTGCTTCCCAACTGAAAATCAGAGTTATTTTCCCAATTACACATACTCGCATCAGAAACGGAACTACCCAAAATGCAGCTGTTGACACTATGAACTCATGCTTTGTATTAACTCACTCTGGTAAGTGGCCTGTTAGCCCAGTTCATCCATTTCTGTTCTTTTGAACAAGCCTTTTATCCTTCCACCAGTTCTCCCACAGAGAATGATTGATCTGGATCCCCAAGAAATTCCTCCTCTCTCCTCCACACATCCACTCAGCATGGTTATTAGAAAAGACCTCAGAATACTTCTGTTGTACCAGTTACCACCAGGGAATGAATATAAACAGGATCTGTTCTACCAGTCAGCAGACAAAATTCCTGAATTCAGATTAAACAAAATGAAGTTAGTTCAATTAATTTATTTCTTTTGCTTCAAAAGCAGTAAAGGTTAAGAGAAGGCATGTACATTGCTAAGCATGTTTAAGAATCCTCATGAGTAAGAATTTCCTTGTATTGTTTTAGTGATATTATTTTGTATCTTCTCCCCAATAGCCCAATCCATCAGGCATGTTACTGAGGTATGACACGATGCAATCATCACCTCACATTTGCACAGTAAGAAATACTGTGAAACTCACAAATTATTAACTTGCTCATGAGTATGTGCATAGAAAGAACAGATTTCAACCAATTAAAGAATTGCCAAACAAAACCACACACAAAACAACTTGTCCATGCGTAAATACAGTTAAATCTTAAAATTTTCAGCATCCCATTTAAAAAAAGTAATCCTTGGGTTAAACCTCTAAACCATAAACAACAGGATTCCCAGTATGGCTAGGATTTCATCCAAAATTCTTAGGTCTTTGTGATTATTTACAAAATCTTACAACTGTAGACCAACCTTGCTTTAGGGCTGCCAGTCCAATGCTTTTGCTGTTTGCAGTACCTTAGTAAAGATGAAACAGAGTAACTGCTCACTAATATTTTAAAGGTTCATTGCCATTACAGATCCAAATGCCCCTGTATAGAACTGAACCTGACAAACATCAAGCCAAATTCCCTTCACTGCTTTCTGAGAATGAAGGGATGCAGCTCACCCAACGATGCAGCCCTCGCCCAGCTCTGAGGACTTGTCCTAAGGTTACCTCTCTACTTCCTAGAGGCCACTAAGCCAGCACAAGTCAGCAAGCACTTCCAACAAAAAGAGGCCAGCTCTGGCCAGACATTGACCCTGCACGACTTCTTTGGTCTGTCAGCACAGCACCGCCGTAGGTGCACAGCTCACTGGACTGGGAAACCTGATTCAGGTTACAAACAATCTCTCCTACTTTAACCCTGATTTCCTCCCCATCCTACCGGAGGGGCGCGGGAGGAGTGAGCGAGCGGCTGCCTGGTGCTTTGTTACCGGCTAGGCTGAAACCGCGACACCTTGTGCCTGTCCCCAAGTACTTCTGCTGTACAAGGGCCGGGACAATATGCAGAAAGGAGCATTTATCCATGCAGCTTACAGCGTTGTACACTTCAGCTTTACTACAGAGATAAACCAATTAATTAACAGTGAAAATGGTGCATCATTTCTCCTTCCCTTTCCCTTCCCAACCTCAGCCACTCACCTCCACTTCTTCAGCAGATCTGACCCAAACCTGAGCCAGAGAGCTAAACAGGCAGAAAACAATATGCCTCGCTCTGTGTAGTTCGTTTTCTACCAATTTAGCTCACTGTTACAGTGGCCTGATGAGAATTTCTGCTGACAAGGCAGGGTGCAGGAATACACAGCTGTAAATAGAGGGAGAAGAGCAGAACACCCTTTCATCAGTAGCCAGTCATTAAATCAGGTAGGTGTATTAGCACCACACCCTGAGTGAGGGGTAGACAAAAGGAAACAACCCTGTTTTCCTTGTATCAGCCATAAACCTGAGAGAAAACAGACATGAAATATTTCCTTACTTATTCTCACAGTTACTTGACTTTCCCGAAATCACTGAGCAAGTTCCCACCCCTGTGTTCCTTCTTTACTTGTGCCAGCACAAATTTCCATGGAACCAGGCTATTAACTATCCTCATAACTATCCCCCAGCTATTAAGCCAGCCATGAGTAATGTATAAGAAACAAACCAAACAACACTCACATTTCACTTAGGTTGTGCCAGAAAAAGATTGAGATCAGACAACTCCTTAAAAGAACAGGAACACATTAAAAGGAAAATGTCTTCACAGCATACAGTCTTATTCAATTCCATTTAAAACAATGAAATGAGAGCAGTATTAACTAATTCATTTTAACTGGGGATAATTACATTTAATTAGTTATGTTAATTCAATTACACAGGAAGAGAGATGCATTCTGATAGTGCTGGTATGCAGGATAGGACAAGAAATGCTCCAAGAACCCTGTCAGGAGTGAAAGAATTCACATGATGAGAAATGGGCGACAAAGGAATTACCACCCCAGACTTGATCTGTGGCCCAGTCTAGTTATCTGTCTCAGATGACACAAGCACATAAAGCTTCAGAAAGTGAAAACAAACCCCAAAATATACAGCAACACAAAGACATGCTGGAGGATAAATCTACTACCACAAACTACAGTGTAATGGTTAGAAACTCTCTTAAACAAGATGTCTTACATTCTTTATAAACTTTATTAGCAATAACTACTGGATATGGATCGTTTGTAAGCCAGCTAGTTGCCTGATTTACCCTTGAATTACTTTCTTAATCACTCCAGTGGCTGAGTTCCAGTATTTAATTACATGCAGAAGGTTAACTGGCTTCAGGTGGATAAAGAAGCAGTAGATATATCTTGGCTTTAGTAAGATTTTTGATGCTATTGCTAGACTGGAATGTATCTAATGCTGTAAGCTTGGTGTGAGGTCAGGTGAAAATTCATTCCTTAAAAGAGCAATTATCAATATATTAGTCAAAATAGAAATGCATTTCAAATATGGTCAAAATGATGGCAAAGGAAGCATCAAAGATGATGAAAAGTTCCCAAAAGGTACTTTTCCTCCTCCAGTCTGATGAAACCAAAGAGAACCCTGGACCACTTTCCCTCTCGTTCTCAGAGAGCACGGCAGTCAGAAGGATGGGTCACCACTGGTGACAACCCATGTCTAGGAAATTCTACTGCTGAACCCATACAGACAATGTTTGAAGAATATTTCTCACACATTTTATTGACTGAATCGATATGGAAATCTGCATGTTTGCTACACACGAAAACTTGCACACGCATATATTTACCTCAAATTTTATTTTGTTTAATAACTTGAGGGTTCTCTAAAGATTAACTAGGATCCAATATAAGGTTCCTGTTTTCCTAACAAATCAAAATATTCAAGCCACTGCTGCATTTTGGGGTGGTTTTTTTTTTGTTTTCCCTCTGCACCACCTCAGTTCCAGTAGAGCCATAAAAGGCCAGGCCTATTCTCAGATTCCTGGACCCATGCAATGCAAGTCTCTGGGCCGATTTCCAGACCATAACTTTTATCTGTAGAGCCTGCCTGAATCCATGCCATTAACCTGCAGTTCACAGATGTAGGAAAAAAAGAGGATTTCTGAGGTCTAGTGACCAGCTTGTATCAATTCAGGAGTAAGACACAGCTCTGTGAATTTCACCCTCTCTGCCACTGCCACCAGGTAGACCTTTCTAGGCAATTGTACCACTATGACTTAGAGCCTCTGGGAATCATGAGAGATTGTTTAATGCCTTCTGAAGGCTCAGAGCTGGTACAGGTGCGGGGCTGGGGAAGACGAGTGGGGACAAAGTAA